CAATCCAAAACAGTCCAGTGGCACCTTTAAGACCAGGTTTTATTCAGGTACAAGCTCTCCCTCCTCTGTGAAGACAGATCTGCATGTCCGCCCCCCCACAAAACCCCAATAGCTAGCAATCCAAATCAGTCCAGTGGCACCATGAAGACCAAGTTTTATTCAGGTACAAGCTCTCCCTCCTCTGCGAGAACAGATCTGCACGTTCCCCCCCCCCAATAGCTAGCAATCCAAAATAGTCCAGTGGCACCTTTAAGACCAGGTTTTATTCAGGTACAAGCTCTCCCTCCTCTGTGAGAACAGATCTGCACGTCCCCCCCCCCATAGCTTGCAATCCAAATCAGTCCAGTGGAGCCTGAGCAGTGGCTTCTGACACATTGTCGATGATGTCAGGGGATGTTTCATATGCAAATATACTAATGAGCTCCTGCTCCTCTTTTTCTATGAAATGACCCCTGCCGCCCAGGTTCCCCTCTGTTTCCTTTCGGGACTTCGTCAGGCCACCTCCAGTGACGGAGCACCAGGCTCTATGTATTTCTCTGGGCATTTGATTTCTTTTCTTTTCACCCACTTACTGTTATTATTCTGCACCTTGTTGTTTGACCTCCTATACAATAAACTATTCTCATTGTTCACTCTGCCTGGTCCTTACGCCTGTTATTCGGCCAAAAGGGAGGTCTGAAGGTCTTGGGAGGGTGCTCTGGGCCTTCTCAAGGGAGCCTGGAACCAGAGTGGTGGCAGCGTCAGTTGCCACCCCACCTGAGCCATGACAGGGTTCGAAGTGGACTATTGAGTGTGTGTGACCGCAGCCTATATGTATTCCAACCGGCTTGAATAACAGAACCCCGAAAGTCTCCAGGTATTTTCCAACCCAGACCTGGCAACCTTAGGGGTTGCCGCTCTCTAGGGTAGCCGGGTCCCCTCTGGTGGGAGATGGGTGGAGGTAGGTTTGCCAGATCCAGGTTGGGAAACTCCTGGAGATTTGAGGATGGAGCCTGGAGAGGACAGGGACCTCAGTGGGGTACAATGCCATAGAGTCCATCCTCCAAAGCAGCCGTTTCCTCCAGGGGAAGTGATCTCTGTAGTCATAAGAACATAAGAGAAGCCAATGCTGGGTCAAGCCAATGGCCCATCTAGTCCAACACTCTGTGCCACACAGTGGCCAGAAATAGCAGGTGCCATCAGGAGGTCCAGCAGCGGGGCCAGGACACTAGAATCCCTCTCACTGTTGCCCCCCCCCCAAGCACCAAGAATAGAGAACCTCACTTGCCCCAGACTGAGAGTTCCTGTCTATACCTTGTGGCTAATAGCCACGGATGGACCTCTGCTCCATATAAGAACATAAGAGAAGCCAATGTTGGATCAGGCCAATGGCCCATCCAGTCCAACACTCTGTCACACAGTGGCCAAAAATACCAGGGGCCATTAGGAGGTCCAGCAGTGAGGCCAGGACACTAGAAGCCCTCCCACTGTTGCCCCCCCCAAAAAAACCCCACCAAGAATACAGAGCATCACTTGCCCCAGACATAAGAACATAAGATAAGCCTATGTTGGATCAGGCCAGTGGCCCATCCAGTCCAACACTCTGTCACACAGTGGCCAAAAATAGCAGGTGCCATCAGGAGGGTCAGCAGTGGGGCCAGGACACCAGAAGCCTCCCCACTGTATCCCCCCCCCCCCAAGCACCAAGAATACAGAACCTCACTTGCCCCAGACTGAGAGTTCCTATCTAGGTAAAGGTAAAGGTAAAGGTTCCCTTGCTCGAAAGCCAGTCGAATCCGACTCTAGGGTTGCGGTGCTCATCTCCATTTCAAAGCCGAAGAGCCAGCGCTGTCCGAAGACATTTCCGTGGTCATGTGGCCGGCATGACTAAACACCAAGGCGCACGGAACGCTGTTACCTTCCCACCGAAGTGGTACCTATTTATCTACTTGCAATTTCTTGCTTTCGAACTGCTAGGTTGGCAGGAGCTGGAACGAGAGACGGGAGCTCACCCTGTCTTACGGCACCCGGGTCTTGAACTGCTGAACTACCGACCTTCCACAGCCTGCAGTTCAGCGTCTTAACCACTTGAGCCACCGCAGCTCCCTTCCTATCTAGACCTTGTGGCTAATAGCCACGGATGGACCTCTCCTCCATATAAGAACATAAGCGAAGCCAGTGTTGGATCAGGCCAAAGGCCCCTCCAGCCCAACACTCTGTGGCACACAGTGGCCAGAAATACCAGGGGCCCTCAGGAGGTCCAGCAGTGGGGCCAGGACACTAGAAGCCCTCCCACTGTTGCCCCCCCCAAAAAAAACCCCCACCAAGAATACAGAGCATCCCTTGCTCCAGACTGAGAGTTCCTATCTAGACCTTGTTTCTAAGAGCCACTGATGGACCTCTGCTTGACAGGAGATGAGCTGTGATTCCAGAGGATCCCCAGGCCCCGCCTGGAGGCTGGCATCCCTCCCTCCCTCCCTCTTTTGCAGCTGCTTGCCATCTCCCCCTCCCCCTTGGCCAAAGCTGTCCTTCGAGGTGGGGGGGGAAATGTGCACTCCCCCCCCCCACCATAGTACACTTAATCACCGTTTGGCAGCGGGGTGTCAGCTCCATTGTCTGGGTCATCCATCAGGAGCGGGGCTGGCACAGGAGTGACGGGGTGACCCAGTTTAGCATGTGGGCAGCCTGTCGGGGCCGGGCAAAGGACTCGGAGCCCTGAAGGAGCCTCCGGCACTGGAGGAGGACCAGAAGGGTAGGCGGGAGGGGGGCTTCGCCCGGCAGCCCCCCCTCCTCCCAAGGGAGGCCTCAGGGAGCAGAGCGGGAGCCCCGCAGCTGAGCCAAGCACATGGCACGTGGGAGCCACCTGGAGTTGCCACTCTCCAGGTAGGGCCTGGGGATTTCCCAGAATGACAGCCAATCTCTGATGACGGAGATCAGCTCCCTTGGGGAGACGTCTGCTTCGGAGGGTGGCCTCTGTGGACTGTTGCCACCCTCCAGGCAGCATCTGAAGAGGAAGAGGAAGAAGAGGAGGAGGAGATTGGATTCTGTTGGGTATGACAAGTTGAAAACACTCAGCACATCTGGGGTTAAATGTTTGTTTCTGTTACTCACAGGAAGTCACATGTTTCTCATGGAACCAATGTTCTTTAGCTGCAAGAAGCCCAGGAATTTTCTCCCTGATCTAGGGATTTCATTGGGACGAAAGTGCCAAGGTGTATTACCATTTTATGGCTCCTCTTCCCGTCTTTGTTTTTGGTGTTCTCAAGGAGAAGAAGAGCAGCCATAACTCTCTCTTCTAGTTTTGTCTTTGTAGTGTAAGGATGTAGCCGATTTAGCTCTGTTGTTACTTTTATCCCAGTTACCCTTCCCCATGCTAGAATTTAGTAAAAACTTTACATTTTAATCACACATGGACTCTCAGTCTGAATTATTTTACTCAGGCTCTGCTGGGCTACATTATCTCTGCTAAATACCATTTTTTCAATATCTCACTATCACCCAACAGCTTCCTACCCACCCTTCACTCGGAGTCTCAGAGCGCCTTACCATCTTCTTTCCCTTCCTCTCCCCACAACTGACACCCTGTGAGCAGGACTCCTGTTAGCCAAATTGCCACGAATGATTAATAACTAGGGTTGAATTATGATCTCACGCAAGACCATAGGCAAATTATGAACATAAGAGACGCCAATGTTGGATCAGGCCAGTGGCCCATCCAGTCCAACACTCTGTGTCACACAGTGGCCAGAAATACCAGTGCCATCAGTAGGTCCACCAGTGGGGCCAGGACATTAGAAGCCCTCCCACTGTTGACCCCCCCCCCCAAGCACCAAGAAGACAGAGCATCACTTGCCCCAGAGCCCCTATCTATGCCTTGTGGCTAATAGCCACTGATGGACCTCTGCTCCATATGCCTATCTAATTCCCTTTTGAAGTCGTCTATGCTTGTAGCCGCCACCACTTCCTGTGGCAGTGAATTCCATGTGTTAATCACTCTTTGGGTGAAGAAGTACTTCCTTTTATCCGTTCTAACCCGACCGCTCAGCAGTTTCATGGAGTGCCCACGAGTTTTTGTATCGTGAGAAAGGGAGAAAAGTACCTCTTTCTCTACCTGTTCTATCCCATGCATAATCTTACAAACCTCGATTATGTCACCCCTCAGTCGTCATTTCTCCAAGCTAAATGGAGCAAGCACCTATGTATACAGGGGTCCCGCTTCTCCCAGACGCACCAGAAAGAGACTCAAAGGCTGGCTTCAGTATAAAATGGCTTCGTTTACTGAAGACGTTTCATATGCATACAATAATTCAAACACACTCACAATTACACAGATCTAGGAATATTAGAGAGAAGAGGATGGCACATTCGCATTAGCAGGATGATCATCAAGGGGCCATACTTTCCACGGCGGGATGGATCGATCCTTAGGAAAAACAAGGGAGACTACGGGGAAATGGGGTCGTGTCGTGAGCCGGCAGCGACACGTGCAGCCCCCTTGCTGATTGACTGAAAGACCTTTGATTGTTCTTGTGACCGCCCTAAAATCCCAGGGAGAAGGGCCGACTTTAAATGAAAAGAACGACAACGACAAGCAGTTAGGATGGAAAGAGTTCCCTAAAGCCAAGGGGAGAGTAGGAGGAGCTTCCTTGAAGCTGGATCGCCATCTGGTGGAGTCCAGCTGCATTGCCTGGAAGGAATGGGACACGGAGAGCCAGTCTGGTGTAGCGGTTAGGAGCGCGGACTCTAATCTGGGAGGACCGGGTTTGATTCCCCCACTTCTCCGCTTGCAGCTGCTGGCGTGACCTTGGGTCAGTCACAAGTTCTCTCAGGGGCGTTCTCTCAGGAGCCCTACTTGAAAGAACTCTCTCAGCCCCACCTGCCTCACAGGGTGTCTGTTGTGGGGTCGGGAAGGGAAAGGAGTTTGTAAGTCGCTCTGAGGCTCCTTTGGGTATTGAAGTTGTTGTTGTTCAGTTGCACAGTCGAGTCCAACTCTTCGCGACCCCATGGACCAAATCCAAACTCTTCTTCTTCTTCTTCCTCTCCTCTGTTTCATCCTCCCCACAACCCTGTGAGGTAGGCTCGGCTGAGAGAGGCTGAGACTCTCCCGAGGTTCTATTTATTTGCTCAGTATTGATTTTGAACATTTATAGGCCACCTCTCCAGAGGCCTGAGACCACAGCCAAGGAACACCTGCACCTTCCCCTTGTCCTTCTTCGTTCCCCCAGAGCAGGTGACGGTGGCCTGGTTACACAGGCGAATCTCCGTGGACTGAAAGGTGGGAGGGGGAGGGGCCTCAGAGCAAGAGCACAGAATTGGCCTGACCCAGGTTCAGTGCCCAGCGTCTCCGGTAAACAGTGGGACACACTCGGAGCTGCTGGCGTGGCCTCGGGTCAGTCACGGTTCTGGAAAGAGCAGTTCTCCAAAGACCTCTCTCAGTCCCACCTACCTCACAGGCAGTGTTCCCTCTAAGCTGCGTTTGGGGTCGTGGTGAAGTGCGCGTACTCTAATCTGGGAGAACCGGGTTTGATTCCCCACTCCTCCACTTGCACCTGGCTGGATGACCTTGGGCAAGCCATAACTCTGGCACAGCTGTCCTTGAAAAAGAGCCTTCTGTCAAGAGCTCTCTCAGCCCCACCTGCCTCCCAGGGTGTCTGTTGTGGGGAGCGGAAGGGAATGGAGTTTGTGAGCCACTCTGAGACACCTTTGGGTAGTGAAGGGCGGGGTACAAATCCAATCTCCTCCTCCCCTCCTCTTCTCCTTCTCCTTCTCCTTCTCCTTCTCCTTCTCCTTCTCCTTCTCCTTCTCCTTCTCCTTCTCCTTCTCCTTCTCCTTCTCCTTCTCCTTCTCCTTCTCCTTCTCCTTCTCCTTCTCCTTCTCCTTCTCCTTCTCCTTCTCCTTCTCCTTCTCCTTCTCCTTCTCCTTCTCCTTCTCCTTCTCCTTCTCCTTCTCCTTCTTCTTCTTCTTCTTCCGTAGTGTGAGCTAGCTCACCATTTATTAGCCTCTGGCTCACACATTTTTGTTTCAGCTCAGGAAGGATGGCTTTGGAGCAAACTAATTTATGCAATAGCCAAATCGGTCGCTCGCAACTTTAATGCCAGTAGCGCACAAAGTAGAAGTTTTTGCTCACAAGACTCCACAGCTTAGAGGGAGCATTGCTCACAGGATGTCTGTAGTGGGGAGGGGAAGGGGAAGGAGTTTTTCAGCTGCTCTGAGACCCCTTTGGGTAGTGAAGGGTGAGGTATAAATCCAGTCTCCTCTTCTTCTTCTCTGCCACTGAGCAGACTCTAATCTGGGAGAACCGGGTTTGATTCCCCACTCCTCCACTTGCACCTGGCTGGATGACCTTGGGCAAGCCGT